CTTTGACTTTTTTGGCATAGGTTCAAAGTCTAATGCAACAAACTGCATATCTTGTTTTCTGTTTAAGCGTTTCAAAACTAGGATAGCATAAGTTTTCTTGCAAATGTTGTTGATTGATTCCTGTGCATTTTCTTCAAATTCAGAAATGTTACACAGGGTAGAGATGTTATCATGAAAGAGTACAAGTTCATGAGGAAAGTCATGAAGTGTCAAAGAAAAAGTATATCTTTGTGATACTGCAACTGGTTTGGAACATTTGGTGCAAAAAGATTCTGTGTCCATAGTTATAACTGCTGTTCTACATTTGTCACATGCATAGTAGCTTTCGTACAGTACTTTGTCAATTTTAGCTACAATTTTTACAGAGCTGTTGGTTTGTATGTTTGGAAGGTCATCTAAATCAACAGTCTTGTATGGTTGGTTATCAAGGCGATGCTTTGTTAGAGGTAAAAAACTAACAGTTTTTTCAATTTCATGCCAATCAACAGATAAATGGTCTGTTTTTGGATCATTTTGATCAGCATAGCATATTTTGTCACATGACAATGAGACTTCTGTCCCATATGCTTTAACAAGAGCATTTTGAATATGGACAACCTGACCATTTTGTGGGATAAATTGTTCAGCTGTCTCTGCCCATAAAGTGGCTTTAATTTTAAAATGCTCATCTGCAATTATGAGTGATCTTCTTGAAACTGTTGTGCCCTTGTTAGTATTTGTTGGGGTCGTTTCAGACTCATGATCAATGATGACACCTACAGTATTGATTCTCTTGTTCACATATTTGGTGATATCTTCGATTGGGAGGAACTCTACGTCTGGTTCAGATATGGGTGTTGAGCTTATTTCTACAGTAACTCCAGATGTTAAAGTCAAATCAAATGGAATGTAGTTATTACTTTTGATGTATTGTGGTGGGGTTTTCCTAACAGAGATGTTAAAGAACTTGTAGGTTGAATCAACAAAGATCTTATTATTAAAAAATATGGCAACTGGGCCCCAAGCTATCAGTCTTGCACGTTTAGAACCATCAGTCACATCAGCTTGGAAGAGATGGTTTGAGTTTGTTAGGTCTTTTAACTCTTTGTTTGTAACACGGACTTCGACTGATACTGTTTTAGTTTCATCTGTTATGACTGTAGTAGTATAAATAATACAGATGGATTATTTTTTAATTTTGTGTTTGAGAGGTAAACAAAAATGTTGTGATGATGATTCAATCAAGCCAAAATGCAAGTGATGAATAAAAATTCACAGCTTGTCAGGTTGCTAGTTAACTATTATTATTATATAAGCTCCAATGAAATATCAGGTGATCTCTTGTGTCAAAAATTGTTATCTTGACACATGAAGATACCATGTTATTTTCACCTGTGAAGATAACATGTTACCATGGTTACTCTGAGAAGTGGCTAAGTGAAGGAAGTTTGTGTTGACAAAATAGGTATTGAAAAACCATGAATCTTGATGGTGTTTTACATTTTGTACATAATGGTTTTCATGGTGGCCATGTTGGCAAAAGAACAAAAGAATTGTTGATGAATTTTTTGTTATATCCTCCAACATGGCAGCTGTGTCTTTTGTTATTTAATTCTCTTGGGAATGGTTTAAAACCATCAATAGTCCCTATTGGTTTCTTTGTTGACATACTTGCTGGTTCAATAAATAATGCAATAAAGTGTTCATAAAGATGACAATATCATTATGCTGTATCATCTGCAATTATCAAACGACATGGTAAAGAATATTTTTTTAAAGTTTTTACCTTCTAAACTCTCCAGAAATGATATATCTGTAGAACCATCAGAACCAGATTTTTTTTGGAAGTTCCTTCCTTGACTTGAACCTGTTGAGAGAAAAACAATTGGTTTATTTGTAACAGAGAAAATATGATGTGTTTGAAACTATCTTATATTATGGTGGTAAAGGGTTGTATGATAATGAAAGATTTGCATTGAGTACTAGCTTTGATATGTGATGTTCCATTGTATGCTTCAATAAATAAAAGTCATTTGAACTTAATTCAGTGTTGAGAAGAAAGTAATATTTAGTACCTAATGTGTATCTCCTGAAAATATTTGGTCCCATGCCTCACAGCCATTTTCATAAGTGTAAATGGCTTATAGATTTGAAAGACAATATAATTTTTTCTGTTCTTTTACTATTACCTTTAGAAGAGAGTCTTTCTTTTTCATTACTGCTAGTTGGTTTTTCGTTGGCACATTTTTTAGGAGATGAACTTGTACTTTCTTTTGTTTTTGAGCCTGTTAAAAGAAATAAAAGATAGTGTGGTTTCTAATAGTCCTAACAGTATTTTTTTCTTTAGATATTAGTGTGGCTTGGCATATGAAATTAATCCACATATAGCTTCAATGATATGAGACTAAATGCATCTAGTAATACCACGTCAGTATAATTAGAACATAAATTTCTGAATGGTAGATTCAGATTGATTGTTTAGCAATTGTAAATTGTTTTTGTCCCATGATGCTCATTATTTCCATTGTTTCCCATGTGTATTATCGATGAGTCTTAAGAATTTTATGATTATTTTGAGAGGAAATTAAAAGACATGAACATTATGAAGGTCATTTGTTATTAATTGCTCCCTGGGTGTTTAAACATCAGCAATAAACATGCTTGTGTGAAGAGATAGTAATGATAATGAAAACAACAACAACAGCAGCAGCAATTATGATATAGTAAATATATATAAGGACTTACTTTTTTTTTGTTTTTCTTTTGATGATCTGTGTAAAACAAATATGTATCAACATTGTTGTTTTGTGCCTGATTGTATATTTTTATAGTAAGWAATCACATTTTCAGAAGCATATATTTTCTTTGTGTCTAATGATATCAAAGATATAGCAGATAAAGATGTTGSTCTGCTCAAAGCCACATATGCCATTCCAGGTTGAAATACTTTATTACTCAAATCAATTACACATTTTTGAAGTGTCATGCCTTGTGATTTGTGTATTGTGGTA